CAATACAGAGTTCGGTGGCCTAGAGGAACCAAGTACGCTTGGCGGGTATACGAATATATTCGTATCCTGGAATCAAAGAATACCGAGGACGCTCGGCGGTACACGAGGATACTCGTGTGCTGGCACAGGTATAGAGTCCGAGTATGCTCGGTCGGGACTACGAGGACGCTCGTAGCAGGGTTGTTCGCTGTCGATCAGCGAACGGAGTCTGGTGAGAAGACGTTCAGCCGGACCTCTTTTATACCCGGCTGGCGGCCGAATGATTTCGAATCGGCAAGCATCGGCGGTTTCGGCGGCGAGTCCCCCACAATACGGAATTTCGGAACGGTCGGGTGTGGGGGATTTTCGGCGGTTGACCGCCGCTGTTTTTGATAGGAAATTTATCGGCGCGCGATGCGCCCTTGGTGGGCTACGGACGATGGACGGTCCGTAGCCGTAACGATGCAGCGGGCATACAGACTTACTTCATTAGATCTATAGGTAGCCATGCGGACTAGGACCAGGACTAGAAACCCAGCGATCCAGGTTCAAACCCGGTTTGGATTTTCTCAATTCGGAAAAAAATAAAAATTTGCGTCATCCCGCGCCTGCCATAAATACGACCCTACGACTTACTTCATTAGGGCTACGTTCGGAAACCTCACACTCTGTGTAGTGTGATAATTTTCAGTGGAGAAGTAGTGGGGATATCGTGTGCCTTCGGGTGTAGAGTGTTTCCGAACGGTTGGTTGTGCGTTGATGGATATTTTGATTTCGATCGTGTCATCCGGACAATCTATAGTGACACTAAAATCTAATTGTCTTCGCGTTTCGATCTCCTTGTCCCACGATCAATCTTTTTAATTTCAATCTAGGAATCTCAGGAATTTTTTGGCGCACGCACTTGTAAATATTATATAATTACAAAATATGTACTCATATCAGTCGCTACATTATACGACAAATGCAAATTTATAAATGTATGTAGGTTCATATATCGCGATTTGTATATAATTTTTAAAGCTAAGCAGTTTTATTTTTCCTAGTGAATATCTTTGCCATTTTAAATGGAGAATAACAACCGGCGACAAAGTGCTATTATTGCAATCGGTGTAGTAGCTGGACAAAATTTATTAAGGTCAGTTATCGAAAGACTTCACTACGAAGAAAGTAGTGATGACGAATGTGACCGTTTGACTCAGGGAGTAAATGTGCTGGAAGCACGAGTCCGTACTCGAAACAACTTAAGAAGAGCCATGAGAATTAGAGGGTACATCACCACAATAGTACCTAATTATTCGACAAGGCAGTTTAGAGAACATTTTCGAATGAGGACAACATTCAAAAACTTAGAAAGAATATTAACGCCCGATTTAATAAGAACTGCAGAAAGTGGAAGATGCACTTTAAGTGTACAGACCCAGTTACTCGCAGTCCTCTGGCTGCTCGCAACTCCTGATTCATTTAGGTAAGTAAGTAGCATAAGTTTAAATACAATTTTTGTAAAGCTTTTACAAAGAGGAAAACATTCAACAGCAGATAAAAATGCCTTTTTTCCGGAAAATGAGTATATAATAGGCGATAAAGCTTATCCGGTATTATCATGGTGTTTAGCTCCATATATGAATAGAGGCAATTTGACCGAGGTATTATTATTTGTAGTTTGTAGTAAAATTTGAATTTGTACAAATTTACTAAATTATTAGTCATTACTTTAGTTTACACCGATACTTTAATACTTTAATACGTACCAAGTTCTATACTGATCAATCACAGCTATTCTCTTCCTTAGAGGAATGTCTGTAATTGATCAGTATATAGTACTTAATATGCAATTAATGTATCGGTGTAAACTAAGTTAATAAGATTATAAAATTGCAAATAAATAAATATAATAAAAAAATACAATAAATATAATATAATAAATACATATAATATATATAATAAATATAAATAAAATATAATAAATATAATAAAATATAAAGAAATATAATATCGGCCTAACTAAATTTTTTGTTTTTACAGGTACAAAAGAATTTCAATGAACACTTGTCAAAAATGAGGCAAATTATTGAAAGGGCATTTGCCCTTCTTAAAGAAAGATTCCGACGCCTTAAATATTTACATATGAGTTGTGCTTATCTAATACCTTATGTCATCTTGGCATGTTGTGTACTCCACAATATTTGCTTAGAAGGTTGTGGTGATGATGTGGATGATTTTATACACGACGGTATGGAATGTGATGTTGGTAACAATGATGTGAATGATGGTATAATTCCTGATCGACTACGAAATGACGAAAGAGGACTTATTCGTCGAAACTATTTGGCAGCTCTTGTGGCACACGTTGCACCGTAGAGAAAGAAGGATTATGAAATAGGATTATAAAATTAAAAATAAATTAAAAAATGTATTTCTTTTTTATTAAAAAATGTATTTCTTTTTTATTAAAAAATGTATTTTCTCTTTCATTTTATACATTTAATGCATGAACAAATCGACAATTAGTTTTATTGTAAACTAAAAAAATTCTTTTGTAATGAACAGAAGCTTTCTTTGAATGAACAGATTAGCTACATAAGTACATACATCAAAAGATTATAATAAAATAATATCGACTTTTCTTTTAAACAAAACTCTTAAAATATATTATTAACATTTTATAAACCATTTTAGGAACCATATGTAATGTAAGAAAAAGATTGTGGGAAGTTTTGTTGTTAAATACATATATATACAGGGTGAGGCAAAAGTATGGAAACCCCCGAATAAGTTTTGAGGAAGGCATTTTACGAAAAAATGTTAAATACAAAAGTTTTAGGAAATTTCTCTGGCTTTTCAATGATGACCTTGGATTTGACCTTGACCGTGACCTTGAAGGTCATATGAAGGTCAAGTCCATTTTTTAAAATAGGAACCCCCATTTTTCATCGTAGATTCAGAAAGAGCGGAAAATTTTACATCGGAATATGACCTTGACCGTGACCTTGAAGGTCATATAAAGGTCAAGTCCATTTTTTTAAATAGGAACCCCCATTTTTCATCGTAGATTCAGAAAGAGCGGAAAATTTTACATTGGAATATGACCTTGACCATGACCTTGAAGGTCATATCGAAGTCACGGCCATTTTTTCAAAAAACGAGAACGTCTATTTTTATAGTACATTTGGAAAGTTTTAAGATAAATGTCACATTAAGCTCCCCCCCTCCACAAACAAGAGGAAGATATGTTTTCCTATGTATTTTGACATGCTGATTTCAAATCTGGAGCAATTTTTTGGCACTGTTTAGTAGGTTCCGAGAAAAACGTAAAAAATACCAAAAAATTGTATGTAAGTGAGTTCGTTAACCAGGAATGCCTGTTATCACCGGACACCGCGTGAAGGTGAACTCTTGTCCAGCGCGCGCGCGCGCGCGCGTGCGCGTGTGTGTGTGTGTGTGTGTGTGTGTGTGTGTGTGTGTGAAAATGCGATCGTTTCCGGTCTGAAGCTTTCAAACCCACCACCGTGGCGTGATCGATGCCTTTAAGGACACTCTTAAGGCAAGTGTTCAAAGTGTCTTCCATCGACTATTTGACAGCGCCCTAGTCAAATATAAAAATTCTTAATAGCACTGAACACCATTTCAGGCGGTATTTGTGTGCAAACATCTACGATTTGCTGTCTCAATTCTGCTAAATCACGAGGTTGGGTTATGTAAACTTTACTTTTTATGTAACCCCAAAGAAAAAAGTCAGGTGGAGCCAGGTCAGGGGACTTTGCTGGCCATTCGATTGTTCCTCTCCGACCTATCCACCGAGAGATTCGGGAATGTAACATTCAAGTAATCTCTTACAATATTTCGATAATGCGGTGGCGCACCGTCTTGTTGGAACCAAACCTCATTAAAATCATCGCCAGTTATTTCTTGTATAGCTGGAACGATGTCGTTTATGAGCAAATCCAGATATTTTTCTCCATTTAAATTGCTTTGTATGAAAAAAGGCCCAATTATTCGATCTCTAATTAAGCCTGTCCATACATTCAACTTTTGTGGTGTTTGTGTATGAGCTTCAAGTAGCCAATGAGGATTTTCATCGCTCCAATACCTGAAATTATGACGATTAATTTCCCCATTAAGTTGAAATGTGGATTCATCCGTAAAAGCGATAAGGTGCAGAAAATTAGGATCCTGATGAATTCTATCCATCATAATTTCACAAAATTGCACTCGACGGTCAAAATCATCTTCATTTAACTCTTGGTGAAGATGAATTTTTGTGAGGATGAAATTTTACGTGTTTTAAATTCCTAAGAACTGAACGTTGGCTCATTCCAAGCTGTCGAGCTCCATTTCTAGTAGATAATCTACGATTTTCAACGAATGATAGGGCTACTTCAAATTGATGTTCTTCGTTTGTTTCGGATTTCGGCCGTCCAGGTTTTGGACGACTTTTATTACTTCCAGTTTCTTCAAATCGCCGAATAGTTTTAGAAACAGTTCCCTTAGAAATACCTGCTTCGCCAACGCGGAACGTCGCATTAAATAAATCCACAACTTCATTGTACGATCTCTGCCTGTCCCCCCAACCTCTCATCATTAAAAGAGAAATTCTTTCTTGCTCTGTTAGAGAAGCCATTTGGAAGTAAACTACCAGAGACAGTAGTAAGGAAACAGAAAATGTCACACTGAAGTGATCTTTTATTAACCCAAAAGGGACCTTACAAAAATTACTGTGTCGTATTCTTCACTAACTATGGTACCCTGACAAGAACTGTTACTCTGCTTTTCGGAGGACTATGCAATTATCGTGAAAATAAATTTTAGAACTTCTTCGCACTTCGCCAATGACCAAAGTACCAATAGATAACCACTTGTCCCAATTCCTAGAAGGCCCCTTGGCATACTAAATTGACATGTAATACAAGGGCCTTCTAGGAATTTTTTTGGTATTTTTTACGTTTTTCTCGGAACCTACTGAACAGTGCCAAAAAATTGCTCCGGATTTGAAATCAGCATGTCAAAATACATAGGAAAACATATCTCCCTCTTGTTTGTGGAGGGGGGGGGGAGCTTAACGTGACATTTACCTTAAAATTTTCCAAATGTACGATAAAAATAGACGTTCTCGTTTTTTGAAAAAATGGCCGTGACCTCGATATGACCTTCAAGGTCATGGTCAAGGTCATATTCCAATGTAAAATTTCCGCTCTTTCTGAATCTACGATG